TCCTTGTGTGTGTGTGTGTGTGTGTGTGTGTGTGTGTGTGTGTGTCACCTGGTGATTTCCCGCCACGCCAGCAACGCGTTACAGCAACACGCAACTCGCAATACGTAACACACCAGCCGGCAAGCTCACCCATTGATGCACACTTCACTGCTCTTCGCGTGCCCTGCTCAGGACTACTGCTGGCTGCGGTCCTTCTCTGCCTGCCGCCTGGACGGTTCCGTCTCCTTTGAAGACCGCAAGGAAGAGGTGCGCTCCCCATGTATGGACTGCCTGCGCCAATGGCGCCATGCCATTGACGTGTGTTCCCGTTGCGTGCAACTACGCTCGACCTTTACACACACTGCAAAATACACACACACTGCAAAATACACACACAAACGACACACCCTCACTTGCACCCACTCATCCATTTTGCCTTGCAGATTCGCCGCTTTCACGAAGACGACGAGTGCTTTGTGTTTCTGCTGTCCACACGTGCGGGCGGCCTGGGCCTCAACCTCGTTGGCGCAGACACCTGTATCATCTACGACAGTGACTGGGTGCGTGTTGCTGGTTCGTGCTCACTCAATGCCCGCTTTATCGTCACGCCCCTGCCTTGTGTGTTTTGTGTGTCGCTGTCGCTTGCTGTTTGTTCAGGTCTCGATATGAACGCTGCAACCTGTGTTGACTTTTTGTTTTGGCTCGTGTTGTTTTGGTTTGTTGTTTGCGTCCATCCCCTCCCCCCTCGCCTCTCCCTTCTCCCTCTCCCTCTCTGCAACTGCGTTTTGTTGTGGTGCAGAATCCCCAAGTGGATCTCCAGGCGCAGGACAGGTGCCACCGCATCGGCCAGTCCAAGGTGCGCACCTCACCCGTGGGCTGTTCACCTGCGTCTGCAACAAACGTGGTGCACTCCCATTGGCTTACATGATCATGCATTCGCATTGTAACTCGACACGTGTGTGTGTGTGTGTGTTTGTGTGTGTGTGTGTGTGTTTGTGTGTGCGTGTTGACAGACGGTGCTTGTGTTCCGCCTCATCACGGCCAACACGGTCGACCAGCGCATTCTCGAGCGCGCAGCCGGCAAGCGCAAACTCGAACGCCTCGGTGCGCTGTGTGTGTGCGTGTGTGTGTGTGTGTGTGTGTGTGTGTGTGTGTGTGTGTGTGTGTGTGTGTGTGTGTGTGTGTGTGTGTGTGTGTGTGTGTGTGTGTGTCTGTGTGTGTGTGTGTGTGTGTGTGTGTGTGTCTGCCTGCCTGCCTGTCTGTGTGCCTGTGCATGCGAGTATGCACTGCCCCCTCAAGTTACAACCACGTGAGCCTTGACGTGACCCCTCACCGATGTTGCACTGTGCACGCTGCTATAACGTTTGCAGTCATTCACAAGTCGCGTTTCAAGGGCCGTGGTAAAGAGGAGCAGCCGTTGTCAAAGAAAGGTTGGTTTCTTGCTCCATTTTGCACCTGTATTGCCTGCCTTGTTCATGTTGTATCATCCAACTTCGCACATTCGCTCGTACATCAATCCTTTGCTTTCGTTTTTCTATTGCACATTCACCCGCTCATCCACGCCCGTTTTCTTGATCGCGTATTCCGTCCACGTGTCAGATTTGCTGGAGCTCCTCACACCAGAGGGCAGTACCGTCCAGTTTCAGTCGGATCAGGTCTGCTCAAAGCCGCCACCCCACCTCGCGTTGTATTGCTCTGTGGCAGCACACTGTCTTGTAACCCCTGCTCTGCTTTCAGTCTGCCATCACCAACGTAGCAGCTCAAACCTGTCCATTTCCCCCTCCCCCCTCTCTCCGGCGCCATTCAGATTCTGACAGACGAAGAGCTGGAGACAGTGCTGGACCGGGATGTGGATGCGGCGCCAGCACCGGCAACATCGGCCGCGTTCAAGGTCATCAACACGTCCTCCCCAGCAACCATGGCTGTATCTCACGACAGCGATGATGACGACGACGCGTGACAACGCCATGACATGATGTGACGACAGCCCGTAGTTGCAGTTGCGTTGCACCACATCATCACGGCATCGGCAGCAGCAACACGATGGCATGTGCACTGTTTTGCCTTTCACCCTTGCTGCAATTGCCAAGAATCCGCTCAGTTGGTGTCAGATAGTCCCCCCCCCCCAACACATGTTCGTTCCTGCTCCTGTGTTGCTTGGTCCACTATTTTGAGACCCCTTGCTTGCGTGTACGCTCTTGATTTGCACCTTTTTGCTGTAGTTTTGTACAACAAGGATAGCACGTTGTGCACCCACACACGCACACGCACACACACACACACACGCACACACACACACGCACACACACACACACCGTCGCACGTGCACACAACACCATAACAACGTCACCACAAGTGTAAAGAATGTAAAAGCGTCTGCAAACTAGAGCGCGTCCATATGCACAACAATGAAGCGAGGGGGGGGGGAAGTTGAGAAGAGGAAATGGGTGTTGTTTGCGTGTGCGGTAACAAACGAGAAGGGAAAAGGGGTGGCATGCTTGCAGCTGGAGCATGCCCCGCACGTGGCTGATGTGCGTGAGAGTGAGAGTGTGTGCGGGAGCGCGCGCGTGTGCAAGGTTGCAGCACTGCAACAAAGCAGCAGCCAACAGCACATTACGGTCATGCAACCGCCTTTACATTTTGCCCTGAGCAGGACGCATGCCAACAATCCCTCGCGCGAGCTCGGACAACTTGAGCCCGATGCGGTCAAACTCTGTCACGCGCACCCACACCATCGTGTGGTTGATGGCAAAGATGATGCCCCTGTAATGGCGTGGTGATCGAAGGGGTAGGGAAGGAAAGGTGTGAACATGTGCGTGTGTGAACATGTGCGTGTGAGCCAGGCGGCTGTGCATCATGAAGACAAGCTTCAGCTGCACAGACATAACGCACCAGGAAGCAAAGACGAACAAAGTGTTCGCACACACACATGCACATACACACACAGGGCGGGTGAACGTACGTGACCCTGCGATTTGTGGTTGTTCCTGTTGGCACATCGATGGTGACGCGGGCACCGCGACTGTACCAGCGGTCGTTGAAGAACACTTGGTCACGCCGGTTGTCAAACACCGTCTGCAGAATCGTAGTGGTGTAGTGGTATGCGATGGTGTGCAGTGGTGAGTGCACGAATATTGATGAAAGAGTCAGGGTTTGTGAGCCAATGGACGTCAGCGCGATGCGCAGAATAATCAGCCAAACAGAAAGATTGGTAGAGACATGGATGCAGAGTGATTTATGCATGGGGAGGCAGCCGTATGATGTACACACCTTAATGGACAGGGGCTTGTCTCTGAGTTTCGCCATTTCGTTTTGAGCTTTGGAAATGGTGCAGCCCATGGTCCCTGAACAAGACAAGGACGAAGCAAGGGCGACACCAGCACAAAGACAATGCAAAGACAATACAAACTAAATGTGAGGACAGACAGGTCGCACAGAACGAACACACGAACACAAACATGCAGACGACAGATGGGGAAGAACAAAGCCAACGACAAAGCACCCAGCAACAACTGTAATGCAGCAACAACACAGCATGCACACAATCACACAATTACACAATAAAGCAACCACACACCCACACAATAAAGCAACCACACAACCACACAATAAAGCAACCACACAATCACACAATTACACAATAAACAACCACACAACCACACAATCAAACGACCACAATCGCGACCACGTGCACGTACGCAAATCCTTGAGAACGTCCTTGGCTTCGAGCTCCATGACGACAATGGGCGCTTTGGCCTCGACAGTCTTCGTCTCCGCCGCCCCGGCTGTGATCGGTTGCTGCAGTGGCGTCACACGAGGCGTGAGAAAAAGTGGTGTGGCACGAGGGAATACATCACCACCCTGGCACCACAGCAACACTCACAAGGCACGTCTACACAGTTCCACGCATTCACAAAGTCACACAAACACGCACAAACACACGCACATACACGCCAAACACGCAGAAACACGCAGCAACACACACGCACACACGCACAAAACAAAACACGCGCGAACACACGTTATCTTGTCCCCTCCGCCGCAGCCGCCGCGTGGCCATGCGATTTGGCGCCGGACGTGAGTCGTCCTCCCCATCAATGGCGCTCGCCTCGTACCGTTGCTGAAATACACGCACACACACACACGCACACACGCACACACGCACACACGCACGCACGCACACACGCACGCACGCACACATACACACGTATGCAGAGCGGCAGAGACGAATGCATACATGCACGCACACACAAACACAATAAAACAGGCGTGAGGAATGTGCATACTGTGTAAAGAGTGTGTGCGTTTGTAGTGTGTGTGTGTGTGCATATGTGTGCGCGCGCGCGTATGGATACATAACCATGTCTACAAGTGCATATGAGTGCGCACACCTTAGCGTCGTCCAATCGTTCGACGACGGATTGCATCAGGGCCTGCTTTGTTTCCTCCCGCCGTGCCTGACATACATGCATCACATTGTGTGACTGCATATCCAGCGTATCCGCAGCAATGCCACACTCGCAACACCGTCCGCAACCATACACACACAAGCTGAGCACGATTGTGCATGCACATGTATACATGCAACGACAAGACACAGGACACAAACACGAGACACAACACAAGCACGAGACACAACACAAACACGTGAAACAACACAAACACGTGAAACAACACAAACACGTGACACAACACAAACAATCAAACGCCCACCTCACCACCACTTCACCACGCGCACAGGCCGCACCTTGAACCTGGCCACAATCTGTGCGCGCTGTGCATCGTAGTCGTGTGCAATCTCGTCCTTGCGGCGGTCGTATTCGACCTCGGCAGATATGCGGCGGCGGCGAAGGACGTGCTCCAGCACAGCGCGCCGGCGCCGGAACACGCTGTCATCGCCTGAGTGATGGGATGGTGATGATGATGGTAATCGTGGTGGTGGAGTGAGAGCGCGGGAGGGAGTGCTGCGGACAGCAGTGGCCGTGGCACAATCGCATAATATTTGTCGAGCAGTACACAACAACAGGCCTATTCACACCTTTCTTGACTTGCACCATCTTGTCCTCAATCTTCGCAAGCGGCTCTGCCAAATCCCTGAGAATCAAGCAAAACAGAGCATGCAAGCAGTGACACGGGAGCGTCAAATGACGTACACACGCACAGCCATCAAACACACACACACACACACACCTCGAACTTAAAGCACAGACGCGCACACCATACAGCCATTTACACACACACACACACAAGCACACACACACACATCATACAACACAAACATACGAACACACACAAGCACAGGCGCAAGACATGGCAACTGACTTGAAGATGGACTGTGTCAGGTGTCCTTCGAATTCCGAGATGGAAATGTCGGGACGGAAGCGAAGCAACGCCTTGTCGCTGTCAACATGCTCATCCTCATCAGAATCCACCTCATCGCCGTCGCTGTTGCCACCTTCGACATCGTCGACATCGTCATCGTCGTCGTCATTATCATCAGTGTCACGGACCATGTGCTCTTCCCCATCAAACTTACCTCGTTTCCTGCGCTGCCCGCCATTGCCTCCATCACCATTGGTGACATCGTCTGCTGCTGCCTTCCTTGTCGGCCGGTGCGCTGTTGGCCGCGGGAGTGCTGCCAGCCCTTCTACGCATCCATGCTGTGCCGCTTGCTCCCTCTGCCTCGCTGACGCCCTTGAGCGCCGCCCGCGGCTCAATCGATGCTGCTGCTGCTGCTGCTGCTGTTGCTGCTGTTGCTGCTGTTGCGATGGATCGTGTTCACCGCTGGCAAGGACGCTTGCGCGACCACTCTGCCGTGCGCTGTCGTTGCCGCTGCTGTTGGTGCTCTCTGCTGTTGACTCTGATGCCGCCCTCTTGGCCACCGCTGTTGCTACCTGAAACAGGCGCCCGCTGCGCCTTCTCGTCAACCCACGACCGCCACCAGCAGTCGCAGCAGCAGCAGCGCGGTGCTCGACAGTGCCTCCACTTGCACCGTGGCCGCCTTTGGCGCCGCTGTCGCTGCCAGAGGTGTTATCGTTGCTGGCGTCGTTGTACCGCCCGTTGCCGCGCTTGTGCAGATCATCCATATTCGTGGGTGTTTGCCCGCGCCAGCTTCGAGACATGACGCTCTCTTCCCGCCCTTGCTCCTCATCGACACTGCCAGTATCGCCTTTCTCATCGTCACCACTTGTGCCTTCCTGCTGTTGTTGCTGTTGTTGCTGCCACTGCTGCTGTTGTTGTGTTCCTGCATCACCTTCAGTTGTGGTAGCTCGCCGTCCGCGGGTCAACTTTAGCGGCGCATCCCCTTGTGGCAGGCTACTACTTGTTGATGTCGAGGGCGCTGCAGAGGGCGCTACTCTCTGCTGTTGCTGCTGCTGTTCTTGTTCTTCTTCTTGTGCTTCGCTATGGTGTTGAGGCGCGGCTGCCTCTCCTGCAGCTCCCTGCTTGTGATTCGACGTGGTGCTGGTGTTGTTGTTGTTGGTGTCGTTGTTGTTGGTGCCGTTGTTGTTCTTGCCGCTCAACTCTGTTTCGCTTCCCTTGCTGCTGCCACCTTCTCGTGCCTCAACCTCTGCTCGCCCTTTCTCGTCTGTCATGATGATGATGTGTGTCGTATGTGTGTGTGTGTCGTATGTGTGTGTTGTGTGTGTGTGTGTGTGTGTGTGTGTGTGTGTGTGTGTGGTAGTTTGCCGCGCACTTGCTCCTCCCTCCCTGCCTGCCTCTGCCTGCCTGCGTGCCTGCCTGCCTATTGCTGATGACGGTGGTTGTGTGGGTTGTGTGGGCTGTGTCGCACACCAAAAAAACGGAACGTTTGGTAGTGGCTGCTGCAGCGCTGCGGCGAAAAATAAAATTGTTGCCTTGGTAGAATACACTTTGTGATGTTGTTCATCTTTTTTCCTGCCACCCACGAGTTTGCTGTTGCTGCTCCCTTCTTCTTCTTCTTCTTCCTCTTCCTCTGCGCTCTGCCTCAACAACGACGACGATGATGATGAACAGTGGTCGTGCTGTGATGCTGCTGCGCCGCTTTGCTGGCGTCGCCACCCCCCGCCTCGTCACATCCCCCGCCGCCCTCAGGTCTGTATGTGTGTGTGTGTGTGTGTGTGTGTGTGTGTGTGTGTGTTTGGGTTATATCAACGGGTTGGTTGTTTTTTTTTGTCACGTGGAAGGTCTTTGAGGTTTGCCTTGGTCTTTGCTGCTCCTGTTCCTTCCCTTCGCACACATCCTCACACACATACAATCACGCTAACATACTCACCCACTCACATACAATCACACTCACATGCGCTCCCACTTGCACATGCTCACACACATACAATCACGCTAACACACTCAATCTCCGCTCTCTTCCCTCTTGTGTTGTCGATGTTGTTCAGGCCACAAATGCTTGCTCGCGCAAGCCTGAGCATGAGCCGCATGCACGCTTCTGCAGACGCTGCCACCGAGGAGCAATGTGCGCATAGTTCACCCCCATCTTTATGACATGCGTGTGTGTGTGTGTGTGTGTGATGGGCATGGTACCTTGCAGCAAGTGAAAGATGCAGGTTTCGTTTCACTGCGGCTGTGTGTCAGTGTGTGTCCATGTATCACTCATACCCACTCACATGTGCGCCTACGCGTGCGTGCGCTCGTTTATGCGCTCTTGTGTTTGTGCGAAGCAGCCAAGGAGTACAGCCCAAAGATTGAGAACCTTGTGTCTGAGATTTCCTCCATGACACTGCTTGAGGTTGCTGATCTCGTCGACGCCCTCAAGGTTGTGTGCCATGGCTGTACACGTACAGAGAGGCGGCTTGGTTGGCGGTTGTATGCTGTGTATGACTTGCCTCGTCCATGTGTTCCTGTCATGCTTCTCTCTCATCCTCGCTTTTTTTTTTTTTCATATGTGTCCGTCGTGCCTTGGCGTTGCGGCGTTATGTTTTTTGCAGACACGTCTCAACATTTCCGATATGCCCGTTGCCGCCGTCGGTGTTGCTGCTGCGCCTGCAGCTGAGGCAGCCGTAAGAGCTTGTGTGTGTGTGTGTGTGTGTGTGTGTTCGTGTGTTCGTGTGTGTGTTCGTGTGTGTGTTCGTGTGTGTGTGTGTGTTAGGTTGTAGCGAACAGTCTGTTCTTCAGGCCTAATCTGCTGCGCATATCACTTGCATCCTCACCACATTTCTGACTCCCTCTTTCCTTTCTCCGCCCCCCCCCCGCCTTTGCTTCCCTTGTCTGCTTGTGCAGGCCGAGCCTGTTGAGGAGAAGACGGAGTTTGAGGTGAAGCTCGTCAAGTTTGAGGACAAGGCCAAGATCAAGGTCATCAAGGAGGTCCGCAACATCCTCCCAGACCTCAAGCTCGCAGAGGTGCGTCCCTCTCCACTCGCTACCATGCTTGGCGCGCGCTCGCGTGTTTGTGTGTGTGTGTGTGTGTCTGTGTGTCTGTGTCTGTGCATGTGTGTCTGTGTCTGTGTCTGTGCATGTGTATCTGTGTCTGTCTGTGCATGTGTGTCTGCCTGCCTGTCTATCTACTGTCTCTGTGTGTGTCTTCCTTCAAAGGGGCGAATGCCTCCTTGTTTCATTCAAACTCGCGCACCATCTCAATCACCGCCACCACCACCTAAATCACCCCACCGCCATCACAATCGCGCGGCAGGCGAAGAAGCTTGTTGAGGATCTGCCGCAGACGCTGAAGCAGGATGTGAGCAAGGAGGATGCAGAGGCAATCAAGAAGGCCCTGGAGGAGATTGGCGCCAGCGTCGAGATTGCATAAGGCTAAGGCCGCACATGGCACATGCACATATGCACGTGGTTTGGTTTTGGCAGCGTGGTGGTGTTTTGTGCTCTTTGTGTCTGTGAGAGTGTGTTGTTGTGAGGGTGTGTACGCTCGTGTGTCGGCAATGCCCGCCAATGTGACCACGTGCGTGACATCAGGTCAGCCAACACACAGCGACACCTGTATCCTCTCTCTCTCTCTCTCTCTCTCTCTGTGTCCTCTTCCTTCGTCAGTCGCAGTCACTATTGCCGCCCCCTCGCTGTTCCTGTGCTTTTGTTCCTCCTGCCTCTTCACCATCTTTGCTTAAGCATCGTCGTCTGTACAGTGTGCGTGTGTGTGTGCATGTGTGCATCATGCGTGTGCATGCGTGTGCATGCATGTGTGTGTGTCAGTCACATCAAAGGAGAACACGAAAGAACGAAAGCAAAACAAGAAACAAGCAAGAAGGAAGAACAACACAGGTGTGCCGTGTGTCAGCCCCAGACAGACAGAAAAAAAAACCGCACACACTTTGCACGACACAACACAGCAACACACGCCATGTCGTCTACCACTCCACCACCACCAATATCGTCCTCCTCGTCGGTGGGCCCTACACCAGCGATGCCTACAACAACAAGCAGCGCGCCACCTCCATCATCCACTACCATGCCCAACCCAACAACAACAACAACAACAACAACAACAACAGCAACAGCCCCTCCAACCACCACCACCACCGCAGCAACAGCAGCACTCCCAACGACAACTACAGCACCCGCCACCAGCACGGCTCCGAGCACATCCTCGACGCTTGACAGCCAGGCGATGGCGCGTATGGTGGGACTGGCCCAGACCGTGCGTGACATGGACACAGACTCGTCGTCCGTTCGCATGCCACCAACGGAGGTGCAGAAGATTCAGTTCCCACCAAAGCCGACAGACCCGCCCGCCACGTCCTCATCAGCGACAGCGACAGCGGCAGCACCAACCACGACCACCAGTACAGGAGCAACGGCAAGAACAACCACGGCAAACAGCAAAGCAACCGGCAGCGCCTCTTCCAGCTCAGCGACACCTACAACGTCCGCTAGCAAGCAACCATCCACCTCCACCCTCTCCTCCTTTCAGATCATGGTGTGTGCAAATGTGTGTGTCTGCAAGTGTGTGTGCCTGTGTGTGTGTGTCTGTGTCTGTGTCTGTGTGTCTGTGTGTCTGTGTGTGTGCAGGAGTGTGTGTGTCTGTCTCTCTGTCTGTATCACACCTTTGCCAATGTGTTGCATCGCGCTCGCCTTCCTCACCACACACACACACACACGCACACACACACACGCACGCACACACACACACACGCACGCACGCACGCACGCACGCACGCACAATCAACAGCAACAGATGGAGCAGCAACGCCGCGCACAACAAGAGGCAATGCAGGAAGGCGGGCAGGTTAGGGGGTGCTGCAAAAGAGACCTTGTGTGCGTGAATGTGTGCATGAATGTGTGCATGCTCGTGAACAACATTGGTTGTCCGCAGCACGTGCACGCGCTCACGCTGTGATGGCGTTGCTGCCCTGGTTGGTTGTGCAGGTGCTGCCGCAGCGAAAGGTGCGTGAACTCCTCCGCCAAATCGACGCCACGCAGGAGATTGACAACGACGCGCTCGAACTCGGTGCGGACGCTTGTGTTTGTTTGTATGTATGCGCGTGCATGCATGCGTCTGTCTGTCTGTCTGTCTGCCTGTCTGTCTGTGCCTGTCTGTGTTGACTCGAAAACAGTCCCTATGTCTCAATCGAGCACCGCCTACCACGAATGCTCGTCCGTATCTTCCTCCTCCTCTTCACTACCGTCCTCCTAACCCGTGTCCCTCCTCCATGCCATCTGTCATGCTGCGTGCTGCTCGTGCCAGTGATGGACGTTGCCAATGAGTTTATTGAGCAGGTTGTGTCGTTCAGCTGCAACTTGCAAAGCAACGCAACTCCACGACACTCGAGGC